GCATATGAAAATCAAAATGTAACAATACAACAGAAATACAGACCAACGACGTGTGGTACGGATCATGTTTGGTGACCTTTTACAACAAAAAGTGGGGTTTTGCGTCAGTTGTAGATTAACTTGCCGTTGTCGAGAGGTTAATTTGGCGGTTGGGACGAGTTTTAATGGCCTTTACCGTTGAAGAGAGGTTAAAATAGGGGTGAATGTATGGACTATACGCCTGGACCAAAAAAGTAGCCGGTAGCGGAGGTTCAACTGTAATTTAACTCTACCAAAATTTAAGGTGATTCCTTAGAAATAAAGGATGCCCAACAAGTTTTTTGAAACTTTCCCTGAATGTTCCCTACCAAGCACTGTTTTGAAAAATACAAAAAAGGATAGGTCACCATGTTCGCTAAAGACATATGATGGGCCAATCTTACGCCATATATGCCTAACCACGCGCATAAAGTTCACGTTACATTTTGCGGTAGCTGGAAGAAAAGGTTATTAAAGTAATATTTGAAAAAAATCTTGATAGGTAGAAGGTCTCGGGCGCGTGGAACAATGTAATATATATTTTATGGCAAAATGACACAATTCTAAATGACGTTCCTCGTATCGTTGTTTTCGAGGTCTTAATTCGCATCCTCGAGTAGCGGTTTAGTGCACTCTTCTAGCTATATCTTTTTTTTTCCCTTCCGAACAATTTTTTTCCTAATTTTTTAACTTTTAAAAAGAGGATAATTTGTGCAGCAAAATTATGCAATAAAAAATATAGGTCACCATGCTTGTTTAAGAGTTTCGCTGTGGAGCTCAGCGTGAGGGAAAACTCTTATGTAGTGTACGTGCACGCACCATGAGCGCGTGCTAATGACGCAAAAATCTTGCGCAGTAGGGATGCGCAATGCGATACTGGGGAATCACCAGAAATGTGTATCACAATCACTCCATGACTGAGTTAGCTCCATTTGTAAGTTCAAGAACAATTGTTCACTGGTGTTTCAAGCCAACTTACTTGTCGTCATACACTTATTCACTCGTCAGTTTTCTTTAATTTCAGATGGATGAATTCTATATATGATACCATAGTTCAGCTTGGATAAGTTCAAGTACACTCGTACCATGCCTGGCGCTGCCACTCTCTGCAGCGTGTGTACGTGTAGACTGGGTGCTAACAGATTTACCTTTCGTTACCAAGAACAATTACAGACACCAACTGTAGCACTGGATGATAGAACAAATAACTCTTAAGGTAGTTCGTAATGTACTGAAATTATCAGCGGGTAATGGTAAACAACTAAAGGTAATTTTCTTGATATTACAAGTTACCATAGCAACGCACATTTTGCACATCCTTACAGCCCACGAAAGTTATGTTGCAATAGCACTTGTTACTAATTATGACATCGACTCATGTATCGACCACACGCGCTATGAAGAAACATAAACAAGTAACGGCTTGGTACTAGTTTTGTTAACTTTGCCCACGGTTTCCTTTCTTTCGTTTCACCTCCTTTACGAACCTTCTCCGTTTTAACACTAACAAAAAACAAAACAGAGAATAAAGTTTCTTCTCATATGCAATCAAACTTTGCTACTAATTGGGTTGTGCGTGACTTACAAGGATCATTCTGTAGAGTTAGGTCTAAGTGAAAGAATGAACAAGTTAGAAAATATTGACCCATGTATAAACACATCTAACCTTATCTTGAGATCCTCATTCTTTTTCGCGCAGAAAGTCATGAAGAGTCTTCAAAAAGCGTTTACCTCAAAAGGATCCGGTGACTCCCGATGATTTTTTTTGCGGTCTGACATGAGTTGGTCGTTTCCTAACTACAGCAAAAGTTTCAAAAACAACATGAGAAGATTTGGGTGTGAACACTGCTTATAGAGTGGAACCTCGATATAACAAAGGGGTAAGGGACTGGAAAAATATGGTCACTATAATGAGGTTTCGTTGTATCGAGAGGTTCTTTTCCATATATTTTACTATTACTGGGGCCGGGAAACTCGTTCGTTATAGCGAGGACTACGTTATATAGGTTCGTTAAATCAAGGTTCCATTGTAACTCTCACAGAATTCGGTGACCTCTAATTTTATCAGTGAATCGTAATCAGCATTTCAAGATTCAACTTTCTGGCAAGATTAGAACATTGCGGTAGCCCAGTCAAAAAATTTCCATTGGCTCTGAATCCGGTCCTACGTGGTTTTTTATGTTTGGCAAATATAGTTGCATCTCAACATACATATCACAACTCGATAAGAAACAATGGGTGTCACTGGACTCGATTTTGAGTGAAACCGATAACCCAAAAAATTAAAGGTTTTTAAAGGGTTATGCAGGTGTTATGATAACCCTTTTGCACCAGGAGAAAGGTGATAACTTGTTCACCAACCATTGGGCATTTGTTTGATACCATGATTGTAATATCAACTCAAAACGAGACGTTTCTTTGATCCATCAAAGAAGAAGTGCTGAAAAATGCTGGAAACTGTTATGAGCCACCTTAACTTCCTTAGAGTTACTAAATACAAAATTGGCACTTGTAAATTTACATTTCAAACAACTGAAACACAAAGAACCGTTTTTTTTCCTGATTGCTAAATGCTGATGGCATAACTGAAGGTCGACTCTAAGACAGCAAGAGTTAAATTAGTAATAGCACACCTACACAATACCGTCATTTGACTACAACTACCAGGATTCATTTCGTTTCTTCTTTATTATTTAAATTTCTAAACCACAGTGGAATTTAAGTAGCAATTCCCCTAATTAGCACGAGAAAAAAAGGCGAAGGATTCTGGTACTTGTAGTTAGATGACGCCATCGTTCAAATCGCGTATTCAGTATTTAGGGAATAGGGTAAAGAGAACATGCACATATTGCAAATAGAAGACTGTAAGTATATATTTAATATTCCGTGAAAAGGTCATTGTTTTTCTGGTTATGTTCTTGTGTTTACAAAGCAACGAATAGAATCAAGTCGTTAATCTTTCCACCATATTTCATGCTAAATTGGTCAAGTTTCCCGGAGGTAAAGTTTTTACATGTTTGTTCTCCTAGTGAGCCTTGGAAGCATATTCATAATACCATTGTTCAAAGTAATGCCAGTTTCATGGTACCTATTTGCACTCTCGTAAAGAAAAATAAACTGAATTTCACTTTCAATATGTATAATTTGTTTTCTCTTTGTTTGTTTTCTAGTTATTGTCTCTATTTTTTCCTCCAGTCTCTCAGTGGCGAGAAATCTTACCCTAACTTGAGCTAACCATATGTGCTAAATCTAATTGTTTCAAATAATTCTCCAATCCCGGATTTCTCGGAGTTCCACTCACCTATCCCATGGGAAAAGTACATTC